GCCTCCCGCCTGCCCGCTATACTTAGATGATTATGCTGCTGCTGATGATGCCACAAGGTCGCCCAATTGTGAGGTCAAACTTGAATTTGCATAGACCCTCGTGCGAGAGTTCAAATGTGCAGATAATCAGCGGTTAATACTCAACCCTCTCCGATAGCAATCTCCATTGGATCTAATCCGCGGAGAATGTAATCCGAAATGTATCTATGCCGGGAGTTAGCACCTTACCCTGCTGCAATAATTGCATCTATGGAATATCTGCCACGGCAAGGTCGGACATTCCTTGGCCTAAGCCCTGGCCACCACACCACAACAATTTGGCCCCCAATTGGCCACAACTATGCACGATAGACGGACGATAGGCGATGCCTGATTGGCGATTGCCGATTGCTGATTGGCAATTGGCAATTGGCGATTGGCGATAGGCACATGTGTGAGGGCAGCCCGCAGCCGTTCGCCGATTTATGGGGATGACGTGCAGAACAGAACAGAACAGAACCGAACACGGCAAGGCAATTGGCCAGACAAAAGGAATACCATAAACATAAAATAGTAAAAAATGCAATTTGCAATTGCTGCCACTATCCACTATCCACTATACAGCGGGGGGACCGTTAAATGTGTGGCAGCAGTGGCAGTTGCAGGAACAGAACACAAAACCAAATTAACGCCAAGCAACAGCAGTGGCAGCAATTGCAATCGAAGAAGTGTAATACGATAAGCCAGCAGAGAGCGGAGAGTAGCAATTGAATGGAGTGGAGTGGAGTAGCAGCGGCAGCAGATCCCCAGATGGACGCGTGAGGTTGGGGTCAGCTGCAGCACTCTGATGGGGGGAATTTGGATGGGAGATCGGTTTGGGATTGCTATTGGAACTGGCACTAGGACTGGCACTGGCACTGGCACTGGCACTGGGGTTCGCTGGTTGTGTGCTAAATGTCAATTTGATACCAGCCAGAATCCAATTAAAGCTGCAGTTTCCATTCAGCTGCAGCTACAGCTACAGCTACAGCTTCAGCCATCGGCTTGCAAATTGCAAATTGCTATCGATCTCTGACTGCGATCTTGTCGATGGGTCGCTCGTCGTTAGATGCGTGCCCCAAAGTATATTTGTGGGTCATGGTACAAATTTCAAAGCGAAGGCAACACAAGACAGAGCACAGAGGAGGCAACTGGCAACAGTCAGAGACAGAGCCAGAGCCAGAGCCAGACACAAACACGACAGCCGACACAAGATAGCTCTCTGACAAGAGACACCTTTTGATATGCTAACGAAGCCTGCTCCTCTTCGGCTCCCCTGGCCGTGCCACTCGTGCCCCGACTGTCAAAATGCTGCCTGCCCATGGATGCATGTGAAATTTTCCCACCCTCCATTGAGGCCGTCGTCTGCCTTTGTGAAATGTAAATTTTTTTTTTTTTTGCTTTTTTCTATTTTTTCTGTTTGTTTCCACCTCTCCGGTCATACATTTATATTAGAGCTGCAGCTGGGCCACAATTTGTGCAACTGGGGAAATGGGAACTTGCAACTGGTAGCAGCAGCAGCAAGCAGCCTCCACGCATGCCCACAAGATACGAGAACGAAGACAAAGTTGGGTCAGGGGCACGGACAGGGCCATGGGACAACCTGTGCAATTTCTCAGCCACAAAGAAGCGGTGGCCTGTCCAGTGCCTACCCTTTGTGGGCATTCCTTTCCCCCCTGTTCCACTCCCTAGCCCATGACCAAGGAGGGCGGGCTCCTGCTATGCAAATGTTGCCTCTGCTGCCGCCGCTCTTCACGCATGAGCCGCCTCCTGGACCTGAATACATTTTTCATAACGCATATCAACAGTGGGCCATTGTTAGATGGACGACCCACAGAGACCAGAGACCAGACCAGGTCTCCACTCTGTCTCCAAAGCTGACGTAGAAGACGACATAGAAGATGAAGATGCATGGCCCAGGCTCAGGCTCAGGCCCAGGCCTTGCCCTTGCCAGATGCTTTTCCAAAATCTTGCAAATTTCCCATGACCGATATCTGGTGGCATGTGCAGTTTGCAGTTTGCAGTTAGCAGTTAGCAGTGTGTGTATGCAGGCCGCCCCTCTTTGGGGCACTGGTAACAAGCGCCTGCCTCGTTTTGGGAAGTCAAATACTCGTACGGCCCGGCCCGATGGGTAAAAGTAGTTGCCTTGCCTTGCCTTGCCTTCGCTGGCCTCCTGATGTGTGTGTACTTTTGGCTACTACTTCATTCACAAATTGAATTTGTGTCACACACACATCCAGAGAGAGGCTGAGGCTGAAGCTGAGGCTGAGGCTGAGTTGGCTGTGTGGCAGCTGGCTGCTGGCTGGCTGCTGACCACCCCTTTATTTGGTCTTAACCCAAATACTGAATGCTGTGCTATGTGCTGCAGAAATAAGAAAGAATAAAATTGTTGGCTTTGGCCATTTAGCCACGACAGAGCACAGTGGAATAATTACCGCAACAAGTTGCCAGTGCAGCCAGTTGCCAGTTGCTAGGCTGCAACATGTTGCTCTGCTGCCTCTGTTGCCTCTGTTGGCTCTGTTGGCCGCTGCTCGCTGTTCGTGTGTTGCTAATAGCTTTAGAACAAGTGCCATTTTGGCCAACAACTAATAGCCAGTTTGTGTCGCTTCCGTTGTCAGTCCAAGCAGGCAGGCGGCATCATCCTCATCATCATCTTCATCTTCATCTTCATCACCATTATCGTCATCATCATCATCAGCATCATTTTACCTGTACAGGTTGTTGCTGTTGTTGTCGTTGTTGTTGTCGTTGGCTTGGCTTGTGTGAGATTATCATTATTGTTATTGTCGCTCGTCATGTCAACTCGTCATCAACATGCCGCGACTCCGAATGAGATGGTAGCAGAAGAGGCAGACAGACGCTTACAATCAGCCACAGGCCACAGCCACAGGCCACAGCCTCATCCTCAGCCTCAGCCTCATCCTCAGTCTCAGCATCTGCGGAGCAATCTTTCAACTTGACCGAGAGGCGGCATCGTGTGTTGCATACCTCTCTCGTTACTGTTGCCCCAACCAGCACACAGAGCAGTGATATTTGTGACTCCCCGTGTGCAGGTTGGGGCTTTCGCTCTCTTCCTCGTCCCCCCAGCTTGCCTGCATTTTAATGAGCACAATTCGCGCATTTATGATGAGCGTCGAGCGTTGCTCATTCGCCAGCAGCCCCAGCATCAGCATTATCCTCAGTTCCAGCTGCAGCCCCAGCATTAGCCGATTTTTATTTGCTTGTTTCGTTAGCGAGTAAACCAAACTGCTGCCCGAGGGGGGAATCCGAATCCGAGTACGTTGCAGGCGTGGTGCGGCGAGGGGGCCCAAACCGAAACCACTCAGATTTCACGAGAATTGCACGAGAAGGGGAGGCGAAATATTGTGGAGGAGAGAGAGAGAGAGCTCGAGCTCGATATGACCCCCCAGAAGAGTAACCAAAATGGAATTCCATTCCACAGTGACACGCCGTCCACAGTGGGCTGATGCCCATGGCAATCGATCGATCTACAAATACAAAAAAAGTATTGATCAGATTTCAAAGCAAAAGCGATCTATCTTTATCTCCATCTTCATCGCTTCTCTCCAAACCCATCGATCCATAGTCACATTTAGCCATAAGCATCCATTAATTCTCTGCCAGTTGCGTCCCAGGGTGCTTGGCCTGGAAGTTTTTATTGCTTTATGAAAGGTATAAAATTGCATAATCCACCCACCGACCACGCCCACCCATATACAAACATCAGTACGTGTACCCTCCTACTCCCACTCCTATTCTAACACTCAATCCACCCCTCGCCAGCCAGCCCAGGTCTCCTTACAGTGTCAGCCTCACCCTCGTCTCAGGCCTAAAGCCCAACCCCTCACTGGATTCGGCATCGGTCTGGCACACTCACGTGTTGCATCTCCTGGGACTTGATTAAAGCAACATAAAGCAAATAAAAGCCGAAAGGAAACTTGGCTAATAAATGAAAATATGAAACGTATGTGTCGTCGGGGGGCCCCTCGACGCCATTATCCCCACAACCAGGCGACACGACAATAAAACCGACAACGCGTATATAGATGGCAGGAGGAATGACGAGTTACGTTAGTTTGTTAGCCGATAAGCTGTGATATGTGGCGGTTGCCGCCCGCTAATTGTAACGCAGGGATCACTGGCCACGGGCTGACACCGGGGGGAGGGAAATAGCCAAGTGGGGGACAATTTCGGGAAGTTTTCTTTGGCGTGCGGCTGACATTTTCAATCAGCAACTTCAGAGAAAAAAGAAAACTTCACAGAAACTTTCGGGCAGGTTTCCCTGTGCCCCGTATCTCTGGCACGATTTTTGACCTTTCCGGCGAGCAGAAGGAAGTTCTGGGTCTGGTCTGGGTGGCGGATGGGGGAGGGACATCGGGCATGTCAGGGAAAATTGCACATCTGTCAAATCGGCAAACAAGTGATTTCCGCAAACAATTGAAGAAAAACAGCCAGTCAGCCAGTGAGCCAAGGGCAGGACAGTGCTGGCCAGGACATCCCATTCCGGACATCCAGGAGGGCTGCAAGTAGTGGATGGGATGGACATGGTGGTGCTGTGTCGATGGTGGTGGTGGTGGTGGCATTCGGTTCACATGTCAGCAGTCCCACCCGCCCGAAATTTCTGCTGTTTGTGCACGTAAATTGCTTTTGTAAGCCTAAGAGCTATTGAAAATTTTGCAGCACACAAAAAAGGAACAAAAAAAAAAAAAGGGAAAATACAAAAATAAGAAAAGAAATAAATTGAGACGACACGAGAGATGAGCTGGGGGGGATGAGGCGGCATGCGCCTTGTCATGCTTTTTTAATGAAGTGCTGTCGTTTAAGGAACATATTGCGGCTCGATTTGATTGTTGTTTAAGGGTTAAACGGTTCTCCCGCCCCTCTGCCTCCCTGCCAGCACTGTGGGGAGGCCATCATCGTCCTTCCTATAACGCCAATCACGTACTAACCATAACTCTCTGGTGCGCTCTCTTCCATTGCAGTTACAACCATGACAAGAAGACGTTCGAGTCCGCTGGGACTCGAGGTGCTGGTGTCTCTGACGCTGGCCCTGCTGGCCATAATGCTGATACCCACACAAGCCGGTAAGTGGTTTATTATGTCAACATAAATTATGTTTAGCCAGCTAAGTACCCAAGTACCCAAGTGCCCCGGAAGTGCAGCCTCGCCAAATCTATGCCAAATCCTCGCATATGCCCCGTTTGTCTATTCTGATTATTTTGCCATAAATTCCGGGCTCCGAATTGAACAGCAATTCGCATCCGCAGTGCTGCGCAACTGACCCGGGAGTTCCGGGCACAAATGCGACTAATTAAAACCCATTGTGACAAATTGCCATCGGACAGCTGCCGAAACTTCCCGCCACTTGTCCTGGGTCAGGGGTCGCCAGTGGCTGCCATGACTGCCTAAAAGTCTGTTGCATTTCGGTGGCGAAACTTAATTAAGCGCAGGCCCATTCGGCTGCTGCTGGGGGGGTTGGGTGGTGTCGTGTCCCAAATTCAATTGTGTCATGCGTTTCCATTTAAATTGGATGCGACGGACACTGTCCCGTTCGGGGAGTGTCCGCGAGCTGCGGGGCCTCGTATACTCGTATAATTAAAAGCAAGTGCTAATGGTCTTTGCCATCATCAGCCACCATTCGACCGCCTACTTAGACGCATCTGTAGCTGTAGCTGTGGCTGTAGCTCTGGCTGTAGCTGTATCTATGCCTGCGCCTGCATCTACATCTGTGAGTTGCATCTGCATCTGCCAGGGCCCAGTGCGCAGTGCCCAGCAATGTGTTAACTTTCACATTTACCAAGGCAATAAAAGGCGATGCCTAACGGTTACAGCCTGACTCTAGGCGTGTTCGATTTAACGACTTGTTTAAACAGAACTTAAAGGCAAATAAACCCAAAAAGAGCAAGACAAGACCCAACGCCGGGAATATCGGTCAGCGGCTGAAGACGAGAAATGCCAAAACCGAAAAATGTATGCGAGTAGTCACAGAGTACTTGTACTCGGGCCATAGCCATAGCCAGACTCCGAGTCAGACACAGAGCCAGAGCCAGAGCCAGACCCAGAGCCAGACCCAGCGTGCCATTGTTTAATGGGCATTCAATAAACAGGCAACGACTCCAGCTCCGGAGTCAGCTGCAACGTCAACGTGTCCAGCGCTGACTGATTTGGCCTAGTCAAAACGATAGGCGACAATAGTCAGCTCGTTGACCCACATTCGGGCACCAAAACTCCGCCACTCCAGCACTCCGACACTCCGCCACACCGCCCCTCCGACACTCCGACACTCGATGCTGGCTGCATTCAGAATTCTGGGAATTTTCATTAACACATGTCCAAAACTCTGGTGTCGCTGGGGCTGCATATGGAAATGTATCTGAGGAACGAAAAACGAAAATAAAATGGAAAAGAATTTTTGTGAATGGTGAGTGCGAGAGAGGGGAGGGAGAGAGAGAGAAGCGGGCACCCATGGAGCTTTAAACATTGATTCTGCTGGAAACCCCGCCAGGGTTTCTCACCTATTTATTGATTATTACACACAGTCACAAATCTGTTACACTAACAAGCCAACAAAACGGCCTAATGGACCCCATCCCAGTCCTACATCCACATTCCCATTGAAAGATTGGAAGATTGAATGTGGTATGGGGTATGGGGTACCGGGTACTGGGTACCGGGTACCGACACCACTTGAGTTTGATGAACTTGGTGCCGCGGCTCGGTTCCCAGCATGCCCTGGTAATTGAATTGTTCCATTATAAATACATGAACGAGCGAGTATGAGGCGGCAGCTAACGCATGACTCAACAGTTGGGCTTACACGAGCAGTGAGTGGCTGGCTGGCTGGCTGGGCTGGCTTTGGTTCTGCCTCAGCCTCAGCCCAGCAATAAATCAATAGGACTAGCACAAATGTCAGCCGGCGGACTCGGACTCGGACTCCACAGATGATGATTAACAGCGGAGTGAAATACTTCACAACAAGTGGCATTTGCGTCATAACAAAAGCCACACACAGCATACATAAATATTTGGATCGAGCGATCGATTCCAAGCCCTCCATCCAAATGCCAATTGTTTGCGCAGCTATTAAGACAGATATCGAAAACATTTTGGCATCATACTCGGAAGAGTATCGTGTCAGCCGAGAGCCATCAAACAGTTAACCGTAAGACCCCCCAGCCGCGGGGCAACTTGTGCAATTTAACTGCCATCGCCATGCGAGAGAGATGCCTCAAGTTCAAGTTTTAATTCAAGCTCAAGGTCGGTTGGAACGTTGGCACGGTTTTGGTTTCGGTTTTGGTTTGGGTTTGGTTCGCTGCGGTGTATCCTCCTGGCATCCCGGTAGCCGCAACACATTATCATTATTTTATAAGCCACGAATCGAAGAAGATGGCAATTTCAATTTGTTGCTTTTATTTTTATTTTGCCCGTTTTCTGCCTTCCGTCTTGTGTTGGCTGACTGCTGCCTGACTGCTGCCTGCTGGCTCGCTTATTTTCATGGGGCGTTTTCATCAATCAATTTCGAACGTGAGTTCGTATCTCGTTTTTCTCATGCTTATTATAGAATTATGGAACACAAGAGAACAGAACAGATCAGGCAGAACAGGTGTTCTCTTCGGATTCCCATTGCCTGTGTGTCATGCTTGGGACTTGGGACTTGCCAATTGACACCTACACCACTCGATGATGGTCACTGAACCTTGGCGATCATCTCCCATCTGCCATCTCCCATTTCCCGTTCCGTAAACCTGCCAAGCCATCTCAAATATATATTTTATTTGGCCCCCCCATTGCCTGTTTTTGTGATTTCTTAATTTATAACCAATTACAAAGGCATTAGTACGCCGAGCAAAGATCTTCAATATTTTTGTTTATTGCGCACATAAATCGCCGCTTTATGGCTCTCCATCCCCATCCCCCTTCTCGGCTCCAGCTTCAGTCCCAGGTCCCAAGATAAAGATTTGCGGAAGTAAGCGATGTTCACTTGCCGCTGTGCCTAATTAGCTTGTATTAGCAGAGCCCCAGCCAGCTATCCGAGCCATCCGAGCCATCCGAGCTATCCGAGCTATCGATGGCTTAAAAGTTTTGTGCGTGCCAGCAGAACTTTTCTGGCCAGGCTTTGGCTTTGGCTTTGGCTCTGGCTCTGAGGTACACATCATTATGGTTTCATATTAATTGCATGGCTCGGCTGATGTCATCAGCGTCAGCATCAGGCATCAGCGTCGTCATCAGGCCCTGGCCTGAAGCTAAAGCTGTGCCACAGCACAGGCACAGGCAGAGGCAGAGAAGCCTCTGAAGCATCGTCTCAGGCAGCGTTAATCAAGATTTAACGTTGTCCAGTCATCAGCTTAGCCACGCGCATATAATTAACATTTTTGCCATCATCTCGGGCCCAGACACAGACACAGACACCGCCACAGACCCAGACCCAGACTCAGACCCTGAGCCAGGCGTGTAGCAGGTTCAATGTCAAGTGGCAAGTCGGATTTGTCTTATCAGTTGTGTTGATAGCACCCAAAACGGTACGGCCTGCCCACAGGAAGGCTACCATCCTCCATATGCCGCAGCTGCTGCCGATCCAACGATCGTAAATATTTTATATATGCAAACATACTGACACTAGGGGCCACAGAGCCATAGAGCCACAGAGCCACAGAGCCATAGCCATCCGTACATTGTTGTCTGCACTCCATCCCAGTCGGAGACGGCTATGAAGTAGAAGTAGAAGTCGCTGTAGAACTCCGCTTCGAAGCTGTTTGCTTGGCAAATAAACTGGCCAAAGCCGCTGACCATTGACCGATATGGCGATGAGAATGATGATGATGAGGATGATCATGATACAATGATGATGATGGCGATGCTGAAGATGTGTTGGCTGCGTGGCTAAGGAATTTCATAGCCACTTAGAGAACAAGTACGCAGAGTTAGAGATCACGAACTTGCGGGTTAGCGCGGGGGCAAACCGCAGCACAGCCCGCACGAAGCAGCGCCCATCGAACGTGAGACTGCTGCTGCTGGCCAATGAGGCGGAGAAACTTTCGACCGGCGGTGACACAATTAGATGCCGCCCCGGCCCAGGCCCCAGGCCCAGGCCCCATGACTCCAAATGTCCAACTCCAACTGCGATTTCAACAACCCCATTCGACTGCCATGTTCTTGGCCATAAATAAGCATTTATGCTAAGCGGCAACGCGACGACTTTCCTTTCCTTTCCCTTCCTTCCTTTCCTTTCGTTTGGCTGCGTTTTGTGTCCACCCAGCCCACCAGCCTCGCAGCTCAGCGCATCGCACCGCCCATCGTCGTTCGTCAATTTGTCAGAGAGCGCTTTACAGATTTTTTTCTGAGTTTGAGTTTTGAGTTGGTGTGAAGCCAAATCAAAGCCGCGTCCGCGTCTGCGTCTGCTGTGAACTCTAGCTGTGTCGCAGTCTCTGCGCGGATGATAAATTGACCATGAGCTTGAGACACTCATAAAAGATACATTTGTTTGGCTTAAATGTTCCGCAGCAGACGCTGCTGGGTGGCTGGAGAGCCACTTAGTTGGTTTTTGATTCGAGCCCACGCAAGTCCCACCGCCAAGTCTGTATGGGGGCGAGGCCATTGACCACGGACCGCCAAAGGGCCGCAGTTGCCGTTGCACTTGATTCTCCAATTAAATGGTTAGAACTCCGGAGCAGCGTGTGAACCAGAATTGGAGGCGGAAATCCACTGAGCAAGAGCAAGAGCAGGGCGGGCAGAGCACGGGCAGGGCAAGGCAGGCAGGCAGGCAGAGGCAGGCAGGCAGGCAGAGGCAGGCCGACTGGCAGCTCTTTTGATTTTTATCAGCATTAAATTCTCAACTTCCTGCGACAAGGTCGGGGGCTAATTTCATTTAAGTAAATACGCTTGCGGTTAGCTGGCAGGCAATTTGAAGTGTAACGGGAACGTGTAGCCACAGACACAGGGCTTAAACCACAGCAGCAGCCGAAGCTGAAGCCAAAGCCGTTGCTTTTTCGGCCAAAACCAAATGGAATTACAATTGCAATTACACAATTTGGCTATTAACGCCTCGACGCTTGGTGTGCCCCATTCCACCTTTCACCTTGACAAT